ACGCAGCTGCCACTTATCAGCCCAGTCAACCAGCCTGTCAAGATCACCTTGCAACTGTACTTTTTGCGACGTATTCTTCACCGTATTATAAATTTTTGTGTCGTCAGCATACATCGAGCAAACGCTAGACACAGCTTCTGGCAGATCGTTTATAAACGCAACGAATAGAATAGGCCCGAGAACGCTTCCTTGTGGCACGCAGCTGCGCACTGAAGCCCAGTCTGATACGGACCTATTAATACTGACACGTTGTCGCCTCCCTACTAGAAAATCTCTGATCCATTTGAGAAAATCACTGATCCATCTGATCCACTAGTGAGCCAAAGAGGGCGTCAGCCTGAAAAAGTTTAAGAACCACTGAATCAAACTAACTGCAGGTCCCCACAATTGAAGTGAAATAGAAAAAGGTTAAAAATGTAATGACTTATCATTTGAAACGTCAACTTTCTCTCTTAAGCTAACGTGACACGTCAACTGTGTCTCATCGTCAAATGTGATACGTCAACTATTTCTCTTCAAATAACATGATACGTCAACTGTCTTTCATCCCCTAACGTGATATGTCAACTGCCTCTCGTTACTTAACGTCATAAGTCAACTGTCTCCCATCACCTAACGTGATAAGTCAACTGTTTCTTGTTACCTAATGTGATACATCAACTGTCTCTCGTTACTTCATGTGGTACGTCAACTATCTCTCGTCACCTGACGTGATACGTCAACTGTTCTTTGTTACCTAACGTGAAACGTCAACTGTCTCTCGTTACCTAACTTAAAACGCCAAATGTCTCTTGTGACCTAAGATGAAACGTCAACTGTCTCTCATTACCTAACGTGATACGTCAACAGTCTCTCGTCACCTAACGTGATACCGACTGATACGTCAACTTTCTCTTCACCTAACGTGATACTGCAATTGGCTCACGTCACCTAATGTGATACGGCAATTGGTTCAAGTCATCTATCGTGATATGTCAAATTGTTCTCGTTCTTTTACGGGGTACATTAACTTGTACGTCACCTAACGTGATACGTCTAATGCTCTCGTCGCAGCACGCGATACGTTTTCTGTCTATGTGATCTAGCGAGACACGTTCGCCATCTTGGAACCTCACGCGTTCGCCGTGACCGCCATCTTCGTAGCATGTCACGTGGGCTTAAATTTACTTGGCATCAAACTAGTCAATAACTCCTTTAGCCAAACTATTTAACCACACCGCTGCTCTCTACTTCTACCTGTCCTATCAATTTAAATGTGGGTTCAAAAATTATGAGGTTATCTAACTGTAATAAAGTTTATTAAAGGAGCATCTCGATTGTTCCAATGCACAGAGGTGGGCAGTAGCGCGCTACATGTAGCGGCCGCTACAAGATCTGTAGCGGTAGCGGTAGCGGCGCTACATTTAAGCAATTGTAGCGGTAGCGCCCGCTACATATTTAAGTAGCAACACGAGGTTTTGCCGCTACAGCGCTACCGCTACATTTATAGATAAAGCCTTGAGATTTTACTTAATAGTATTAAATATTATTTAAAAACCAGCATGATACATAACGTTACATACATAATATACATAACAGTATAAAACTATACGAAAGATTTCAATGTAATAACGGTTTCAGCATTTAGTAGGCCGTAGGCTTGTCGCCGATTCTTAACATCGCAGAACATTTCACAGCATTTTGCGGGCTCGAACTCGCAACTCACTGCTACAATTCTGCTGTGCTTAACCGCCCGGCCTCATTGCCGATTCTGACCAGAAACTGACGCACAGAGCTGGGATCGAGCCCGCGTCTCTCTGCTCCAATCTTGGTAGTCCAAATTTCAATTTTAGCGTTGTAATAACTGTTCACTTGCTTGATAATGAATATTGATATATTCGAAACGTCGCACTGCAATAAAATGTCATTAGGTAACCTGCTTTTTGATCTCCAAGCTCCAGCTAGAAATTTCGTTCGGCTCATCGAAAAAAAACAATAAGAAAATCATAAATAAAAAGTACGCTCTGGTCTTCAACCAAACCTGTATAAATGAAGATGTTTGGTTAAAAATA